ACAATGGAGCCTCAGGGGCTGTGGTACAGTGGCTGCTCTCTGGGGATCCCCTGTGGCTTCTAGGCTTCTCATTTTTAAAGAAGCCAGAAACAGAGCCCTTATGAAATCTCATTTTTTCAATGCCAGCAACACACAGGAAACACAGCGGGCATGTAGTTTTAGTGGGGCAGAGACCGAGTCCTGGAGACAGATGGTGGTGGTGGCTGCACATCCGCGTCCCAGCACATCCACGTCCCAGCACATGACCCAGGCTCTATGGGGCTCATCCTGGGCGCTCGCTTGAGGGCCAGAACCGATGACGGTCCATGCTGAGCCCTATGCAGGACTCCACACAGGACTACAGAAAGCACAGACCCAAGGTCAGGCCCAGCACTGGTCACTCTGCAGGTGAAGAAACTGAGGCACAGGGATGCTAAGCCTCTGTCCAATGTCCTGGGGCGCGGGAGGGACTCCACCTTGTCCAAGGTAGAGGTGACAAAGTCTGGTAAGGTGGGAGAGGGTGCATCATGGAAGAGCTGACCTGCTCCTAGTGTCACAGCCCCTGTGCCTGGTGGCCAACAGGTGCCTCTGTAGTACTTGCAGCTCCCCCACCCAGTCTGCACCTGGCTGAGCACCATGTGGAGCAGAGTCCTTTCGGGTCCCCAGGGTGGCTGAGCACCTGAGCGTGGGCGGCTGTGGTTGGGGCTCTGCAGTGGCAGGGTGCTCTGTCTCCCACTGCCCTGTCCTGCTTGGGCCTAGCTCTTGCCCTACTGGGGCACCCTGAGGTCTACCCTGATAGAGAGTCAAGAGGGGTCTGAGGACCCACTGAGCCAACCACTCCCTGGGCAGGTGGGGTTTGGGTCCCTGAGGCCATGGCATGGCTGTCCATACCCACTTTCTATGTGAGCTGTGACCCATGGAGCTGCTGAAGGTCTGCAATGAGCTGGAGGCTGCAACCTTTACCCCTAGAGGAGGGAGGACCTGGACCCAATCCAAGTCCTCAGTGGCCATACTGGGTAAATAAACTGATGTTCACTGAACAGAATGCCACCTGTGTCCTGGAGGCCAGGAGACAGAAAGGCAGGCACTGGCCAAGGCGGTCATTTATGCAACTGGGAACTGTGTCACACTGAGGCACCACAGAGAGCTGGATTTGTCCTCTGGGGAGTGGAGGCTATGGGGCTCCTGTGTCCCAGCTGCTCTGAGGTCACAGTTGGGATGGTGGGGACAGCAGAGCCGGCTCCCAACTGCTGCCATCTGTCTGGGGCAAGGCTCCTGTGGCAGCAGGCAAGCTGGGTTCAGGAGGGCAGTTGCCCAGCCCCACACTTGGCTCACCCTCTGCTGTAGCATCTTCCCATTCCTGAGTGATTTTTTTCCCAGGGCCCCATGTTTCCACTCTGCATGGAGCCTTGACCATTCCTAGGCTGGTCTCGAGTAGTATCTATGGGAGTGGGGCCACCTTGGATTTCTGAAGGGCACCCTGTGCTTCAAGGATCACTAACCTGTGTCACCCTGGATTTCTTCCCTTTAGAGACAAACGGCTTCTCCAAACTCCCTCAGGCCCAGGCCTTACTGCCACCCACATTTCAGCCCAGGTGAATGGACAGAATGCAGATGGTGATATGAAGAGGCCAAGACTTACGGCATTTTCCCAGGCAAGGGGAGGCCTGGCTCCAGCAAGGGATGCAAGAGCCTGGACCTACCTGTTGTCTCCTTGTATCCCTCACTCCACTCCTCGATGCGAAAGACCCCTTGCCCACCTGTACACAGGGAGATGGCAATTTGAAGCAAATGGGCCCCTCCATCTCCCTAGTGTAAGCTTTGAAAAAAAATCTTTTCCTTTTTTATCAAAATAAACATCCTCCTTTGGTTTGGTCAGCAGCGAGTAAGCTAACCTGAGCATGTGAGCCTCCGTGGCTGGGGACAGGACTGCTGCAGGAACTAGGCCTCAGATGACTGTGACATCCACTGTAACAGCAGCACTTGCCAGCTGCAGGATGGGCTGTGGTGGAGCTGGTGGAGAGCCACTGTCCGAAGGAGCCTTCAGCTGGGGACCATTTTAAAATCAGACCTTGAGTCTTGGACGTTGAACCAATCAACCCCACCACCGTCACCACAGGCCGCGACCCCAACTGCCCTTCCCCCGCAACTTGGAAGGCACATCCAAATCTGACATGCTTGTGTGAGCTGTGTGGCTCCGCAGTGGTCCAGGATGTCTGTGGCCACCTCAGCTTTGTGGTGGTGGTAAAGTAGCACCAGTGTGTGTTGGCATGGTCATAATGAGGGGCTGCAAGATGAGGGGCCCGGAGAGAAAAGCAAAGGTGCTTGGGGGATGCAGCCCCAGGGACACTCACAGGGCAGGGGTTTCTGCCTGCTGCAGGACATGCTTACATCTTGGGGGCAGTGAGCAAGGAACATCGCTGAGGGGCAACTGCTGGGAGGATGTCACTGCGAGTGTGGACGGATGGCCTCAGGCAGTCAGAAGCCACTGTGGTCTCTGGGGGATCATGTGAGAACAGTGTGGGGTGCTGGAACCACACACACACACACACAGACAGGCTGGGGCCCCCTGGAGGGTGCTGGGGAGATAAGGATGATGGGACACAGGTGCCAAGGGGGGGCAGGTGTGAATGGAGCAGATGCAGTACCACCGCTGGCCCGGGGCCTTGGGCACAGCTTGCCCCAAACACTTCCAACCATGGCATTGGGGTCTCATGCAACCCCCTGGATGCCCCTTACCAGTTGGGCTCACCCCTTCCACTCCCACAAGGGTAACCTGGGTTGGCCCCAGGCCCTGGCACATGCTTACAGGTGTCACCCTGGGTAAGAAGGTCCCTTTTTTGCACTGGCAAATGGATGACCCAGCGGTGCTGGCCCCTCCCCACCTGATGCCTGGCTCTATCTGTGGCCTCTTCCTAAGGTTCATGCCACATGAATGTACATCCTGGGACATCAGTTCCCACAGGTGATGGCTCCCCTGGGTCACAAGTGGCCCTGACCCCAGCTCCTTGACACCAAGTGGGAACAGCTTCCTCTCCCTCCTCCCAACCCCATCGCTCTGCACCATGCCCCCGCCGCCAGAGTCCCCATGGAGAGGCAGGTCACACTCTGCAGTGGGGGACCAGGAAGACTTGGGGAGACTGAGGCTCGAGCAGTGCTGCACCTTCTTCCTGGCAGGGGTCACTGTGGCCCCAGGTCCAGGGTGGTGGTTTCAGAGGTGAATGACACTTGAGGGACCCTCCCTCCCTCTCTTGCCTCGGGCCAGGCCTGTGCTGGGGACAAAGTGACTATGAAGGCCTGCAGCCTGTGATGCTCCTTGGGCCGTGCCAGCCCTGCCTCTTACCTTCATCATCATCAGAACTCTAGGAGCAGCTGGTTGTTAAGTCTAAAAGAACAGGACAGGGACACAGCAAGAGGAGCCACAGGGGATGGGACACCAGGCCTGGCCTGGCCAAACTGCCACCCATGTGGGCTTGGGACTGACCAGCACACAAAGCGTAGGACAGGGAAGGGGGAGGCAGTAGGCTGGCCAGGTCATGCCTGGTCCAGGCCCTTCTGGGCCCACCCAGCCTGAAGCCAGACACCTGAGGGTGCCCCCAGGCCAGCGGCCACACCTTGCACCCCCAGAGCACCTGCCATCTCTGCCATAGTCCAGCAGTATGCTGCCACAGTGAACTTGGCAGACCAACCAGGGCTGTGCCTCAGTGTCCACATTCTGCCACCCACCTCCTTGGCCACCCCAGCAAAACACACTTGGGAAACCATTTCCAAGGGCAAGGTGGCCGAGTGGCCCGACCCAGTGGCCCTCCAATGAGTGACAGGCTCTGGTCTTCTCACCTTGCCCAAGCAGCTGTGGTGGCCACTTCTCCCCACCCGAGGCCCTATGTACAGTGGGGAACTTGGCTGGAAACCTCAGGAAGCTCTGTGACATTGGGGTTCTCTCCTCCTTCTAAAGCAAGTCTGTCTTAAGTAAAACCAAGAAAGTCAGATAAAACACACAAAGCCACATAGGTGCAGGCTGACTAATGAGTTCAACCTAAAGACAGAATATTCATTTTCTCCTGGCCCAAGAGCCCAAATGTTCCTTCCCAGGGCTGGCAGAGCACTTCGGTTCATGTCCCTGGGGGCTTCCTCATGTCCAGGGGGAGGCTCCGGGAAGCAGGCAGCCTGCACACCCACTGCCGACTTCAGCCAGCCATGGACATCAGCCTCAGCTGGCCACCAAAGTCCCATGTCTGAGGGACACCACTCTGCAGCAGCTCCAGCGGGGTCTCCAGCCTCCAGTCAGAGCTTACTGAGGGCTGGCCAGGCGAGTGCTGACAGTCCAGCTCCACACTTTCTATTCACTTTAGAAGTGAGCCATCCGTCCCTGGCTGAGCCAGCTGCCAGCTGGCCTGCTGGAGGAGCAGATTTGAGGTGGGGTGGGGGTTTGTTCCCCAGGCACAGTGTTCTGGCCAATGCGTTCCCAGTGCAGCAGCTGATGCCTCCTGGGCACATTTCTGTACCACACACTGGGCTGTTAGTCCTCTTGCACCATGGCCACTGCCACCGCCCTCCCTTCTGAGCAGCAAATCCTCCCTAGGGAGGGTCTTCTTCATCACCGAGACCCTCACCCCAGGCATTGCCCCCGAGAGCAGGCTCAGGAGAGACAGACACCTTGGATGGGGGCAGCACAGACAAGGACACCTGAGGTCTGGCGGGTTCCAGTCAGGTGGAAACCCCATGCACCTACACCAAGGGGCTGTCCAGAGTTCTGTGCTGTCCCTGAGCCTTCAGGAACAACATCACTCCAGAACCTATGTGGTGAACTCAGATCTATAGCTCTGCTCTCGCCCACCGAAAAAACTCAAAGGATTTCTGAGAGCTGTTGAGATTCTGCCAGGGCTGGTGGAAAACAGCCCCTGAGAACCCCCACAATGCTGCTGGCTGTGCATAGGGCCAGAGACCTCACAGTTCAGAACCTCAGTGACGACTGCTCAAGGGCAGAGCTGCCCTAACAGCAAATGTCACACACAGACTCATGATGCTTAAATACAGGTTTATTGCAAACTAACACCAAGGAACTGGAGCAGCTTTGCAGGCTGGACACCCCACTCTCCGGGGCCCCTGGACAAGGGGGACGAGTCACCCCGCTTTCCTCGGACCTCAGCTGGTGGGACTTAGTGGCCAAACTGCAGCTGTCGTGTCTAAAAAGAGAAAACAGGCCATGCGCCAGCTATGGAGACACTGGTCTGGCCCAGAGTGGCACCCTGGGCAGCGACCTATCCACCAGGCACTGGGGATAAGCCACGCCAGAAGGGGACATGGAAGAACCAGATGGGGGTGGCTGCTCCTGCCACGCGGCCACAACTCTGCATTGCTCTTCCTGGACAGGGGCTTGAACTTGCTGAAGCAGGGCAGAAACAGGGAAAATCCACATGGAGAATAAAACCAGGAGAGAGGAAGACACACTGCCAGGGAAGGAACAACTCCAAGCCTGCCCAGTGAGGCACACGGTCCCCACACTCCATATCCTTGGGAAGACAGCCACAGGCAGGGACGGGCAACCAGGGGACCAGAGAGGACAGCAGACACACACACTCCGGGGGCAGCACTATGCAAATCTCAGGCTCCTGGTGGGAACTTCAGGAAAAATGATCACGGCTTCCTCAGGGCCCCTGGGAGGTGACAATTCTGCTCCCCGGCATCAGCTCCATGGCAAACATGAGATGACAGGGCTCTAACGGCTGTTCCCCCCTTGAACCACAGAATACCTCCCGGTTCACACCTCTCACAGGGTTGTCCAGTTCTGGCTCTGCAGCAGAAAGTGACCGTCCCTGGAGGGACATCCCAGCATTGCACGCCCAGAGACAGCACCCCCCGCCAGCGAGGAGGCCAAGCCTTGCTTCTAGTGGGCTGCAGGTGGCACAGGCATGGAGACCTATGGTGTGACCTGTCTGTGTACCAAGGCTGAGAGCCAGGTGAAGGGCAGCACTGGGTAGGGATGACACAAGCTCCTGGCTCCTGCCCCTCAGCCCGGTCTGCACAATCTGGCTGGAATGGCCAGCAGCTATGGCTCAAGGTGTGGACATGAGGCTGCTGGGGTAGTGCCCAGTCCCTGGGGATAATGGGACAGTCTGTGGACTTTACGGACTACTGTCTGGTGCCACCACAGACTCCCCTCCTCCTGTGGCTGAGGTCCAGGCTATGAGCTTGCTGCAGTCTCCTGAGGGTGCCTGACTCTGTTCCTAGCCTCTGGAAAGTCCGGCAGTATGCCATACAGTGGGGCGTAGGCCCAGTCACTTCCACAAGAGCCTGGAAGGCAGCCGCAGAGTGCAAACAGGATCCGCTGTGCCTGGGCCCACAGCTAGAACAGAGTCCCCAACACCAATGATGTGCAGGCAGCGGCCCCAGCAGACTCACGAAGAGCAAGGCGCATGTGCGAACACCCCACAGGGTGAGGGGTTCCTGCAGAAGCCCAGAGGCACCCCACAGTGCACCCCAGTTGCCCTCATGCAAGCACTAAGCTCCACACTTCAACATGGCCTTGCTGAGGGGACAGAACTCCTCACCCAGCCATAAGAACAGCAAGCAGAGGACATCAAAACAACAGTGAATGGGTGAGGTGGGTGGCCGGGGCTGTTTCTGTGGAGTGCTCCCAGTTCTTGGGCAAATGTCCCTCCTATGTGTCAAACACCTTCCATCAGCTTTGACCACCGTGGCTGGCAGCACTGTCCCCGCACCTTCTCCCAAAGGTCTGGAGGTGTGAGGTCAGGGAGGAAGGCCTGACTGCCCCTGAGAAAGGGCAGCTACAGTGATGGAGACGAGCGTGTCCCTGGCACGCAGAAAGCCGAGGTGGACGGCCGTGGACAAGGGCCATCCTTTTCCTTCCAGTCACTAAAACTGCACAGCCCCTGGGGAGATGTTGAACATGGCCGGGTCGAATCGCTGGCCTCGGAAGGGAGAGCCTTCAGCATCCCACCCCTTCTTCAGCATCTCATGAACTTTCTACGAACAGAAAACAGAGAGGTTAAAGATGGCCAGCACCACGCTTTCTCCCCAGCAGGCCAACAGCAGCCGTGCTAGAGGCACTCGCATGGAGACTGCCAACTCATCTGCAGGACTGTGCCCCATAGCCACAGCTCCTAGGCTCTGTCTCTGGACTCCATGAGAAGGGTCCCTGCCCACCCAGGGATGCAACTGAGGTACGCAGGAGGTTCCCATGGTCGATCAGACAATCCAGGGTTGACAGTGTGACACAGCAACCTGGGGACATGGTCAGGGCTGGGGACTGAGCTCCACTCTGAAACTGAAGCCTCACTGCATGGCCAGGCTGGGGACACAGAGAGCCCTGCCCGAGGGATGTGTCTGCACCTCTGCTGGCAGGTATGTGCCCTCCTGGCCTGGCATGTGCCACCCACCCACGGCATGGCACACACACATGGGCTGGAACAGCCACTCCTTTCTTTTCACTGGCCATGGAGTCCAAGGTTCCTGCTGCAGAAAGCCCAGCAGGTAGGCAGTTGTGACTCTTCTCAGGGAAGACAAGTGCAGATTTGAGCAGTGGGGAAGCTCCCAGTGTCTGCGCAAACCTCTGGGTCCTCAGTTCATTTATTTTATTTATTGTAGTTTTCCTACTTTTTTTGGTACCAGGGATTGAACTCCGGACCTTGTGCTTGTGAGGCAGGTGATGGAACCACTGAGCTAAATCCCCAGCCCTATTTTATTTTATTTATTTATAGTTATTTATTTATTTATTTTGGTGCCGGGGATTGAACTCAGGTCCTTGCACTTGCAAGGCAGGCCACCAAACTGCTGAGCTAAATCCCTGGCCCCAGCCATATTTTATTTATTGTAGATAAAATACCAGTTTCCTGACAAGGGGCTTCCTTTTTTCTGTGCCCTGCCTGCTCCGTATTGGGATTGAACCAAAGGCCTCTACACTGAGCTACATACCCAGCCCTTTTTTATTCAGAGTGATCTATTCTTCCCAACTTCTTAAGGGTAACTCAGACCAGAGATAGGAATGACCTTCTTCAGAAGGCTCTGCAGTGGGGCCTGAGAGAGTGGCACACATGTGTGACTGGGATGAGGGAGGGGACAGGAAACTCCTGTGTGACCCTGAAGGCCAGGCTTCCATCTCTGTCCATAGAGAACATGAGGCTAGACAGTCTCAACCAAACCCAAGAATGCACCAAGCCCACATCCCAGGCAGGAAACCCTGGCACCTCTTGAGACCAGGGACAGTTGGGAAGCCCCGCAGGGGATGCTGGGCGTGCAGTTATCATTCTAGATCTACCAATGGAGATCTGTGCCAGGACCTGAGCGAAGGTAGAAAGCAGGCTTCCTGGGTGTCACCAGCTCTCCTGGTAATGCTGGCACCTGCCTGTTAGGGTGGTCCCACCAGGCTGGAGAGAAGAGGTCAGGGAGATACATCCCACTGCACACTGACAATGGGCCTGTGACTTCACACTCCCTTCCTTGGGGGAAGCCTACGCAGTGAAATTAAACTAGGGGCAAGATGAAGAGTATTAAATCAATCAGCCAATTCTGCAAAGAGGTGACCTCACAGTGACACCGAAGACTTTAAAACAACACACGAAGTGTTATCACTTCAAAGTTAAAATGCTTCAGAACACACAGCATCTGCGGCATTAGAAGCACAATTTGAAATCCTGGCAAATTTAGAAAACTCTTGAGTTCACACCATAAATGGGCATCAACGCCAGGCATGCTGGTGACTGTGACTATGCCAACGTGTGCGGCAGACGGAGGCTGCGAGAACCCTCCCCACCTCCAGCCTCTCCCCGGCGAAGCCCATGCTCCTCAGTGAAGCGATCTAGGCCTTAGAGAACTCTTGGGAGGGTCCCTCTGCTTCCCTGTGACGTGTCTCCAATGACAAGGGAAATATGGTCAAACTGCTTCCTGGGGCCACATGAGGGCACGAACCTACCTTTCTAAGCATGTCTCTTCATTCAATACAAAAAGAAATTCATTTGACTTGACACCCCTGGGTGGTCAGGGTCCTATGCCATGCCAAGCCCAAAGTGAAGCTGAGTACTTGGCACAGGGATGTATCACAGCCCCACCACCTGGGCGCATTACTGTCCATGGTGCTCTCTGGCTGTCCAGGAGCAGGTCCGTGAGGGGTCATTCTGGGTCCCACCAATACCCTGAAGCCCTGGACTCTTGCATGTCACTGAACACTCCCCAGGGCACCTTGCTCAGGGCAGGGACACACATAGTGCCTTGCTACCTGGCCTGGGAAGTTGACAGCAGAACTGATTTAGACACAAAGCGGTCTTTCTAGACCATAGCACCTGAAGACTCTTCTTTTGATTCTTAGGCTGCTGCCCACTCCCTGGGTTCCCAGCACAGGGCCACAAGCACCTTATGCACCAGGCCTGGGCGAGCCCTCTATGGCTCCACTCTTGGTCTCTGCTGTGGCCCAGGCCATGAGGGCCCACCACACTGTCCTCATAGCAAGTCCAGCAGGACACAGTGGCTGCACAGGCTGTGGTGCCACCATCCCCTACGCCTTTAGCCGTTCCCATCCTAGGCTATCAGTGAGGGTCTTGGTGTGAGCTGGAGGCCAGAAGTTCGCAGGAGCTGCCCACTCTGCTGCAATAAGCAGAATGCTCCCAGGCCTGGGCAGTGGGCTGAGCAGTAGCTGTCAGCACATGGAGCCTCCAGGCTCCAGAGTCAAGACGCAGAGCAGCTGCACAGAGGGCTGAGCTGCTCTTCAGAGCAGGTAGCCGTGAAGTGGCTGGATGTGAGGGCCAACCCAGGTCTGTCCTCCCTGCAGATGCAGCACAGGGTCTGGCTATCAGCTGTCAATAAGGTGACACTGGACAGCCAGAGGGCGCCAGCACAGAATGCAAAGGAGAGGGAGGAGTGTGGGGAAGGGCAAGGAGGAGGAGGGGAAGAGGAAATGGGAAGCAATGTCCCCTGGGCTCTCCTGGTTCTGATTTGCATGTCCTGAAAGAGATGTGACCTTGGGGAGCTCTAGAGCTGCAGCACATTCTGGCTCCTCCCAATGTCTCACAGCTGAAGTCCAAGAAGGCCTCACCGAGGTATGACCAACTCACACAGTTCATGCCACAGCGATACTTCTCATATTTAGTTTCTCTGTGGCAGAGGACTTGAAGCTGGCATCTAGGGAAGGTATGAGGAGCCACCAGCCCTCAGTCCCACTGTCCTGTAGCACAAAGATCTGCTTGCTTCTAAGGGATGCTTGGCAGGATCTCCTTCTAACCCGCCAGCACAACAAGCACCTTCGTTCATGTCCCAAGTCCAAACAGCCACAGGCCCAGAGGTTGCTTCCTGTGGACACAGGTTGACTTCTGATGGGGCCCACTCCCCAGATCAAGGTTCACAGATCGGACACTGTGTAATGGGACTGAATGCCACCAGTCTGTCTACACCACTTCGGGTGAGTGCTGAGCCCCTCAATATCACCCTAGAGTCCTAAAACCTCCAGGCCAATGAATCCCATGACATGTCCTTTAACGTCACTGTGTCCTGGGTGAAAGGGCCCAAGACAAAAGGAATGTTCTCTCCCCGGCTGGGACAGGCAGGGCCAAGAGAGCAGAGAAGACTGGGATGAGACCCAGGGTCAAGTCCCACCCCTGCTACCTAGACCCCTGGTTGATCCTGAATAATTCTGAGGCCTTGAAACTCAGTTGCTACTGGCAAGACAGCTTATCTCCCCAGGGCGCTGTGCAGAGCCCTCAGGGGCAAGGGACCTGGCTCTGAAGACAGGGCATGGCATCTAATGCAGCCACAGAGCATACAGTCCCAAAGGCAAGGGTGGGATAAGCACACAAAGCACAGACTCACAGAGACCAGTGCCAAATGTGCAGGCCACTCACATGAATGGCCTTCCAGAGACCAGTTTGTGCCCTGAAGCTGACCCCTCCCTGCCAACCTGCACTATGCTGTATCTGTGTGCACCAGAAGGGGAGATAACCCAAAGGAAAGCAGCCCTTCCTTCCCCATGCAGCCACTCAGAGGGTTATTAAAACAAGAACATATTTATCTCATCAATCACTCTCTTTGCCGTAGGCAGACTGTCCCTGCACCATGGGGAGGCAGTGCCCCTCGGCTCTGAGAGGGACCTAACTTGGCCCTGTGGCCTCTCTCATGCACCCTTCTAGGCCCTGCCACCTGGGCTCATGGGTAGAACACCACACCTGTCCTCAGGTGGGGACCAGGTGACAGGGTGCAGGATGGCCTGCACTGCGGTGGGCCAAGTTGGGGGTGACCCATCAGCCCTGACCCCAGTGTCCCCGCTCCCAGCCTGTCACCAGCACAGGGAGGGTGTGGTGGCCATACCAGCTCGTGGCTCTGTGGCTTGCCCTGCAGCTTCTGGTGGTAGTCGAAGGTGAGCCTGTCCAGGACAGCCTGCTCTTCCTCATCCACGGTGGCCATGGAACGCTCCTTGTTGATCTTGTCGATGTCGATAGGCTCCTCACCCTCCAGGATAGCATTCCACCAGTACTCACCCACTTTGCTCAGGTTCACCTGGGACACAAAGCCGGGGCAGGTGTGAGGGGAGGCAGGGCCGTGGCCAGCAAGCCTGCACCCACTCCGGAACTGGCCTTCCTTGGGGGGACAGAGCCCGCCGAGGGAGGTGGCTGCAGGGAAGATGTTATCAGACATAGGCATGAGGGAAGATAATTAGGGAACCCACATCCTGCTGGCACCCAAGACCTTCTTCCCAGGCCCTCGATCCTCAGTCAGGACAATATGCACTCACTTTCCAAGAGACGCCCTAGCCCGCAGGACTTGGTCCTGGGCCATGGAGAGCCTCTCTGGGTCCACTGTGCCTGTCATGCCTATGCCACCAACTCTTGCCAACTACTTTTGTGGCTTCTGGGGCCACCACCCAGGCTCCTGATCTCTTAGAGAGCTGAGACCTACATGGAGAGACGAGGCTCCCAGGGACCCCTCACCACCCAATGGGGTCGGAACCCATCCCCACTCCCTCCCTGCAGCCAGCTCAACTGCCTGGGGGTCCTCCTGGCCAGTCCTTCAGGCCCTCAGCTCAGGGCAGAGGCCCACTAGGTCTAGCCCGTACACCCTCCTGATGCACCATGGCCAGGGCAGCAGCAGCCAGGAAATCCATGTGCAGCCCTCGGTGCTGGGTCTGCAGGCCTTAACTCAGGGCCACATAACACTACTGAGAAGGGGCATCTCGTGACTCTCGATCTGTCCTGTCACTGTGGTCAGGAGCCATGGGGACACACTGGGCTGCATCACTCACAGTCAGAGGTTGGGCTCACTGCACTACTCTTGTGTTGGCAGCCACATGACCCAGTAACGAAACAAAGCCCTTAGTCCTCACAGAAGGAGAAACAGCAGCCAGGGCTGCTGAGCAAGGGCTCCCACATGAACTGCCACCAGTTTCCCCCAGAGGCCAAAGTGGCCAAGCCACACTCCAGATAATTGTGACACCTGGGCCAGGAGTGGCCCACAGAGGGGGCGTCTGTGAGGGCATGGATGCTTTGTGCTGCAGCCCTCTACCCACTGACCCATGGGCCTGTGCAACCCAGGCCAACACACACCACAGCCCTGGGTACGACTGAGAATCAGGCAGTGGTGCAGTGGAGGTGGTTTCCATAACCTGGACAACTATATGGAAACTCGCCACCATAGCATGGGGTGAGCACCTCAAAACTCCCCTTCTTCGGGCTCCTGGGACTGCGAGGGGACAACACCCCAGCTCCAGCAACAAACCCAGACTGTGGTCCATCAGTGTCTGGCTGCACTCTGCATGAGGGGACCTAATCCAGCCCCCAGAGAACCCAGGGCTGATGGGATGAAACCTCCCAAGGGGGAACCACAGCGCATGTTACTTCCCTACCCAGGAGAGAGTTGAGGTGCTCAGAGGGCTGCGAATCACTGGGAAGAAGAGACTCTTGAGTCTTTTACCCTCATCCTCATTAGTAATTGTCCTTACTAAGAGCTATGGAACACACAAAGGCCTGTACCACAGTATTAAAACAAGGGCTAGGGCTAGGATTTAGCTCAGTGGCACACAATGTCCAGAGTTCAATCCTAGGTACTGTGCCCCAAAAGAAGTGCATGGAATATACAAGGAGTATTTCCAGGGCCAGGGATTTAGCTCAGTGATACCACACCTGCCTCATAAGCGCAAGGTGCTGAGTTTGATCCCCGGTTCCTAAAATAAAGAATAAAATAAAACAGGGCAGACCCTGGAGATCAGGTCTGTGTGGGGCAGTCACTTAGCTCCCAGCGGGCTCTGCACAGTGCAGGAACAGACACGGGTTCACAGATAGGCTTTCCACTGCCGCCTCCTTGGCAGCCCTGAGGGCACAGGGCAGGTGGGCTGAGGAGCACTGGCCTGTCCGGCAGGTGGAGGAACACATCTGACCACAGGCGCACTCCCCGATAGGCACCCTTTTATCAGAAGTGTTTGATCTATACTGAGATTACATAAAGTTTACAGTAAGAGTGACTCATACTGAAGTTGTTTCAAAAAACTTAACAGTTTTCCAGCCAGGAGTAGTGAGTGGCACAGGCCTGTAATCCCAGCACTCAGGGAGGCTGAGGCAGGACAGCAAATTCAAGTTCTGCCTGGGCAAATTAACAAGACTCTCAAAATAAAAATAGAAAATAGAAAAAATACTGGGGATGTAGCTCAGTGGAAGAGCACCCTTAGCTTCGAGCCCCAGGACTACCAAAAAAACAAAACAAAATCAAGTAAGTTTTTCAATATAAATTAAAACAAAATAGTGGTTTTCACAGTCACACATGTCAAATGTCAAGTGCACACCTGGCTGCCGAAGTATCAGGGCCCCCAGGCTGGGCAGTGCAGCCTGCAGGAGGCCACCCTGCTCAGGTGTCACCATGCACGTTACAGGTGTGTCCTGGTTTATTTTTGTTTTTGAGACAGGGTCTCACTATGTAATTCAGGCTGACCTGGAACTCACAGCCATCCTCCTGCCTCAGTCTTCTCAGTGCTGGGCTTACAGGCATGAAGCCACCATGCCTGCTTAAAAAAAATTTTTTTTTGGTACCAGGGATCAAACTCAGGACCTTGTGCTTGTGAGGCAGAGGGTGGTGCCACTGAGCTAAATCCCTGGCCCTTAAAATGTTTTTAATTGAGGTAAAATTCACATAAAATTCTACCCATAAGTGAACAATTGAGTAGGGTTAGCATTTTCACTATAGCATGCACCCATCACCCCTACTCCCACAACCATCCCTGTCTCATCACCCCCAAAAAGAATCCCTATGTCCATTAGCTGTTGCTCCACACCTTGCCCTAATCCCTTCCCTAAATGCCTCTTCCCCACTCCTGGTAACTCTTGATGATTGTCTCTAGTGATTTCACACCAATGGACTCTCCAAGTCTGCTCTATTCCGAATGGGCTCCTCCAGGTCCTCCTGCATCAGAGTTCTGTTCCTTTTCAGGCTGAGTAATATTCCACTGAACAGACAACTTGGCTCTATGTATCCATTAATGCACAGATGGACACTAGGGCTGCCTCCACCTTTGGGCCATTGTGTTTCAGCTCCTGCTTCCTCTGGAGTGTTTAGGGACAGAATTGCTGGCTCCCTGGTAATTCTGCATTTAGCTTTTTGAGGAGCCTCCAGACCTCGCCCCACAGATGAAGCAGTGTTTTCCATTCCTACCAGCAGGCGCCAGGCTCTGATCTCTCCCCAAGCTCAATGACACCAGCAACTTCCCCATGAGTTAACCTCGAGGGTGTGACCAGTGCTTGCACTTGGCCTGGGAGAGCTCTGGTGGCAACACAGGTGTGGCTGCCTTGAGCTCATGTTAAGGCCTCAGAAGACCCAGGTATCCTTTCCAAAGCTGTAGTCAGTATTTACTTAGCACTCGTGGGATACCTCCCACCGTGCTTTTGGGATGAGCACATGAGTTAAAAAGAGTAAGACTGCTATGAAGAAAATGACCACTACCACAGCACAGGCCTGGAGAGCTTCACACCCCCTTGTCCCCAGCTCTTTTTCCTTAAATGGTCCCAAGCCCAGAGCTGCGGAGCCAACTGATTTCTTTATGCTCCAAATTTTCCCATGCACCTTCCTTGGAGAGACACTTCAGGGAGGAACTGGACCTGGCACTTAACCTGCCAAGCCACTCAATGGCTCTGACACCTGGGCGAAGGATGTATGCCGACAGGTCAGAGGAGAATAGGGGAAATGTTCCTGCAATGGACATCATGGGCACCTAGCTAAAGACAACAACCTGGGTGGTCTGCTCAACATTTTGCTTCTTTTTTTTTAATGGTACTGGGAATCAAACTCAGGACCTTGCACTTGTGAGGCAGGCGGTGGAACCACTGAGCTAAATCCCCAGCCAGCTTTTTTGCTTTTCTTTTCAGTACTGGGGATTGAACCCAGTCCTTCACGCATACTAAGCATGAGCTCTACCACTGATCTACATCCCATCCCCAGTATTTTATTTTATCTTGAGGCAGAGTCTCACTAAGTTGCCTGAGCTGTCCTCTAACACATGACCCTCCTGCCTCAGCCCTGAGTAACTGAGATTACTGGTTTGTTGGCCACTGTACACAGCCAACCAACTTTTCTTTTTAATGTCTTGTTACTTTGTGACAGGTCCCATTTGTGGAGGTACACAGTGCACACAGTAAAACTCATCCTTGAGGTCAATATGCATGAGCTGTAGCTACAACCCCCTCACAGACCAGACTGGTTTCCTGCTCCAGAACGTCATCCTTGATGAATCACACAGTTCACAGCCTGCGTTGGCCATCCTTCCCCAGGCACATGGGCCCTTCCACATGGGCCAGGCCCAGGCCATGCCATGACGCAGGTGACACATCCAACAGTGCATGTGGGGTGCTTTCAGCACTGGCAGCAGGGTCAATCTGCGCATTTCCATTTCTTCCAGGTCAACAGCGGCAGCTCACGACTCTTACCAATGGGCTCCTGGCCTCACACAGTGCCACCCTCCTCAGGTCCCTTCAGGATTCTCGCAAGGTCCAGCACTCCTGGGACGCTGGGGCCCATGATACCAGTAGCAGCCCCTCCATGCTGCCTCCTGATTGTGGGCAGACACTGAGTCTGAGTCAAGAAGTCCCAGACAAGCACAACAAAGATTACCATGACCTTGCTTCCCATGGCACATCCTCACTTTACAGTGTCAAGATCCCAGGTTCCTCTTCCTTCTCCTGGTCCCAGCCTCCCAAACACACTTGCACCAGCTCCACCTCAGCACCCTGTCTGTGCCAGTGACGCACCAGCAGCCCTTTCCTTCCTGTAAGGGAGCCTCATTTCTACTCAGGCAAGCAGTGTGCCCAGTCTGGAGGGCAGGACTCCTCACAGCTGCCCAGTGAGGGGAGTGTGGGACATTCCTTCCCCAAAAGGCACCATGGGCAAAGGCAGGGGACAGGAAGGACAGCACCATTGCAGGGCATCGCACCCGCTGATGGGAGGATGAGGCTGTACAGGGCAGCTACCAGCTCCTAGGAAGTGCCATCTCCTGGTTTTCAATGTTGTCAATGATTTTTTTTTTTTTTTTTTTAACTTAACTAGCCAGGAGTAGTGGCCCATGCCTGTAATCCCAGCACTCCGGAGGCTGAGGCGAGAGAATCACCCTAAGTTCAAGGCCGGCCTGGGCTACACAGTGAGTTCAAGTCCACTATGAACTAAACAGTGAGACCCTCAAAAAATAAACAAAATTAAGACACTATGTAAGCCAGAGAGGATAAGACACCTGTCTTGGCCACTGCCTTCAGTGCAACCTATAGGTCTCAGCTCTTTCCCTAGACGCTAGGATGGGAATGATGTGAAGGACTGTAATTCCCGGGGACAAACCAAAGGAGTGTCCTGGAGACAGCACACACTGAGGCATCCAGCAGGGCTCAGCTACATCCGCAGCCTTCTTTGAGAAAGGGTCTTGCTGAGTTGGGAAGGCTGGGCTTGAATTTGCTGGGGTGGGGTTAGAAGCAGGTGCCACTATGCCCAACTTCTTTTTCTTTCTCCTCCTCCTCTTTTTTTCGGTGGGGGTGAGGGAAGGGCAGATTGAATAGAAGGCCTCATGGATGCTAGATAATGTCTCTACTGCTGAGCCACACCCTTCACATTTCATTTTATATAATAATCCCCAGACTCTGGCTCTTGCTAAATGCTAAAGTAATGTAATCTGCAGTTCCCACACTGCCTTCATGAAGATGTATGTGAGGTTATCCACAAGGACAGCTCACAGGCCAGGAGAGGCAGCCAGGTAGGAAGGGGACTCCCAGCTAGGAAAGGCAGACTTCACCCTCACAAGAAAGGCAGATGGAACAACTAGAGGTGTCCAGATAAACCAGCAGAGAAAGGAAAGCCAGGAATCCATGCCAGCAGAGACAGGGGTATACGGGCACACACACCACAGCAACACTCAGAAATGCTGCAGCCCCCAGGGATCCCACTGAGAAGCAGTGACTTCTGGAAATTGCCTTAGTGCAGGGGGAGAGGAAGGCTGCAGCTTATATACAAAGCCCATGCACGGATATACTGTGGTGAGGTTTTAGAGCCCAAGCTTCAAGGGCTAATATCTCAGAGAATAGCCTGGAGCCCCTTTACTGTGTTCCGCGGCTGCGCATGCATGGCATCAGCATAGGAGGACGCAGTGCGCAGTGGCAGGCGCCTTCTGTACAGCCTCAACCACTCCTCCAGCAGCACAGTGCCCACGCAGTACCAGTGTGGGGGGCAGCCTGCTGGCTCCCCACCGAGGGAGAGACAAGGACAATGCACAAGCTGGGGCCAGCTCCTGGGCGGAAGGAGCCGGTGCTGTCGCCACGACTGATTTTACATCTCTGTAACCAGGCGAGGAGCTTGCCTGAGTCAAGAAGTCTCATTTAACATTCGAAGTGTGGGAGGGAGGGAGGCAAGAGCTGTCACACGGTTTTAGCTGCCACCCCTGCCTGCCCTGGCTGTCTGGTGTGGGAGCCACCGCACAGTGCGGGCAGAGCAGGTCATGGGAAGACACAGGAAGCAAGTGGCTGTCTGCTTGCCCTCGGCCCCTGAGGAGGTCAGAACCACTCGCTATGGGGTCTGTGGTAACAGTGTCAGCTCCGAATGCTGCCCCTCCTCCTGGCAGCTCCAAGAAGAGCCCTCCAGTGTCCCAGGGCTGCTGTGACAAAAAAAGACCAGGGTCTTAACACACATTCCTCTTGCAGTTCTTAAGGCAGATGTCCAGAAGCAAGGTGTGGGCAGGACCATGCTCCCAGGAGGCTCCCTCTTCCAGCTTCTGGTGACTGCTGGCTCCCCTGGCTTATGGCCACAGCATTCTGCCTAGCCTTCAAATGACCTTCTCAGTATCCTCACACAGACATCTGTTCCTGCACTCTGGGCCCACCTAGACAGTCCAGGAGGCTCAGATTCTTCCAGAAGAGGCCACAAACTCAGGACAGCTTCTGGGGCTCTACTCACTCTCCTGAACCATTCTGCTCAGCACAGGGCAGCTGCAAACCCATGAAGACCTGCTCAGGCCAGGCGCTCAGCCCCATGTGAAGGATGAGAAAAGGATGCCCAGAGCCAGGCCCTGATCCACGCCAATCCCTCTCTGCATCTACCTGCTGAGGGGAGACAGGCTGCCAAGTTTCACAAGGCAAATGCAGTGCCCTGAACAGGATCTTCATGAATCAAAATCTGCTTCCTAATTTATAGTATCACCTAAGATGTGATCAAAAGAAAAAATTGGCCCCAAAAGGTCATCAAGAAACAATTAAACCAAGAATACAGCAAACCCTTGGCTTCCATAAATGCTAACTTTCTGTAACCTCAGGGCAGCAGGAGCAGGCAGAGGCAGGCAGAACCCTCTGGCTTTGTGGGAGAGCCTGGTACAGGTCAGCCCCAGCTGATGGAAGAGCCACAGGAAAAGGCCACAATGTGCTATGCTTCTTGTCTTTTCTAAGACCCTTTACTTTCCCATATGAGGCTCCTGTGGAAATGCAATGCCCAGCACTGACAGTAACAGCAGCTTTGAAGGACCGTGGGAACCAATACAGGCAGCATCTCAGTGGCAGGGTCTTCACCAGGACTACCGGGGCTAGCAGCACACCCAAGATGCCTGTTTGCAGCAGAGCAGATGCCTTGGGCTGCAGCTGGCTCTGCTTCTTTCCCATCCACTATCCAGGCCTAGCAAAAGTTAATTAAAATACCAGTGGCAGGTGGGGCACAGGGAAGCCCAAAGAGGGCAGAACTCACTGAGGATGAACATCCAGTATCCTCCACAGCCAGGACCCACAGATGCCTCCAGCGAGGGTAAGAGGGGCACAGTGCACACACCTCACACCTAGGAGTGCGGCTCCCTCCACAGCCACTTTCCAGCCTGCATGGAGCACAGCCTCCACACCAAAGGGAAAAAGTCTGAAAGCATCTCACAGCGGGGCTCCCTGGCCCAGCCTCACCCCAGGCACACTACCACCCTCCCAGAATATGAGCTTGCTGGTGACCCCAAAGCACCTGCTGGCCCAGAGCACTGTGTTCAATGCTGGCAGCCAGCAGTATAAGAGGTGAACATTTTGCCATACCCTGTTCCACCTGTACTTTACACACAAGTGTAGCAAATGCACAAGAAAAGCAACATGGCTTTGAAATTCCCATGAAGCGAGTCCCCTCAATCAACAAAAATCTTTAGGAGATGAGCAATGTAGTGATAACCACATTTTCAAAGAAACAGTGTAAGGTAAAAGGAGTATCAGTACCCAGATACAATCCCTGCAATTCTAACCCAGTGGTCACCAGATCCAGAGACTCATTATAGAGGAGCTGTCCCGGGTTGGGTGAGGACACGGCTGCTATGAGGAAGCATCCTGTGGGGAGGGATGCACAGAGATGCATCCCCTGTTGCACAAGGCCAGGGGCACTCACTGCTCAGAGCAGCCCGGGCAGACCAGAGTGCTATGCACTGAGACCACACTCACCAGCACGCACTTGCCCGGCTCCAGGCTCCAGAGAGAGCTCTCAGTGTTGATCTTGTGTGTGAGCTTCCCTTCCATGAGGACACGCTCCCCACCTTCTTCCACCATGGCCACGCGGATGGAGCCGCTGCTGAGGGCTACCGAGACCTGGGGACAAGCAGAAAAAAAATCACATCTGTGAGAGGTAGCTGCCAGGCACAGGGCAGTCGCAGGGACAGTGATTTCGGGGACCAGCCTATGCACTCCAGCTCCTGTGGGGCTCTGCGGGCTCCTGAGTGAAGAAAGCCATTCCAGCCTGCTCCACACTCAGGGCCACCTGCACACGTCAGCTCCTCCAGGACATGGCACACATTCTATACTCCATACAGACACTTTCTAAAATCTAGGTTTTAGGGCCGGGGATGCAGCAGGCACCACATCTGCCCAGCAAGTAGAAGGTCCTGAGTTCAATTCGGAGTACTGGAAAAAAGGAAAAAAAATTAAAATCTTTTATAACATAAAAAACCTTTATAGTAGCATATCCCTTGTGTGAGATGCTTGAGAGCAGAAGTGGTCCAGATGTTGAAAGTTTTTCAGAGTTTGGAATATCTGCATACACTTTACTGGTTAAGCATCCCTAATCTGAAAATCAGAAATCTAAAAAGTTTTGGATCAGAGATGTCCAACCTATATTTGCACACTCTACATATTGAATATTGAAAGCAAGTATTTAAAATATTTTTCTCATAAGTCTGAGAAATTAACATAATTTATAGGCTACTCAATACCTGGTTCATTAAATGCTTATAAAATTTACCAGGAAAAAACCCTCAAAGTTACAGAATTTTCCAGGTAGAGTTCAGTATTTGCCAATGGAAAAGACTGTAACTAAGTGTGGTTTGAATGAGCACAAATCAAAAAAGAAAGGGAAAGTGCAAGGTCCTGAGTTGGAGCCTCAGTAACAAAAATGTGGGGGGTAGAAGGGATAGGACTGGACAGGACAGAACAGGACCACGTGCGAGCAATTGCTCCATCCTATACAAGGTCCTGTTTGGGCAGCTGGGAAAGAAGGGGGCAGGACTGTCCCAGAGGACATGGACCCCTCACACCAGGGGTGGGAGAACTGTCCACCCTGGCTACACAGCCAGGTTTCGGTGAAGGACAGGGTGTGTATGCGGGGGCCTCCTCTAGGGACAGCACACACAAGCACTTGTGCTGACTCCTCAGAGGAACCTCTACTTTGGGAAAGTCTGCTGCCCTGGTTGGACCCCTCCAGCACGAACAAGCCCACCTTCTAAAAGCAAAAGAAGCACAAGCAAATGTGACATGGCTCAGCTTGCTCCTGGATTGTCTCCAGAAGGACCCTGGGCCCAATCAGCCTAACTGTGAACTTGTGTGTGACCAACAGCTGAAGCCACCCACCCCAGCTGCCTTAGCCTGGCTTCCCAAGAGCAAGCTCGCTTTAACAAACTCCCCCGGCAGCTTTACACAACACTGTGATTCCCCAATTTGGGCAAGATTCTCACACAGCCTACTAAGGAGAATGAATGAAATCCTTGTGGGAGAAAACCGAGAGTGCCAGCTGAAAACATCACACCAAAAACAGACTGTCATCCGACCAGTCTCCTGCAGAAATACAATGACAAAGAGAAAGACCCCAGTGAAAGGGGAGGAAGTGAGTGTTCCAGAGCAGATAGGACGACAAAACTGGGGAATACAGAAGAAGCACTGCCACAGGAAATAAATATTCCAGGGCAAGGAACACCCAGGAGCCACAGCAGGGAGACCCAGCTGAGGGCCAGTAGTTATGGAGGCAGCTGCGAGGCCTCCCGGCCTGTAAAGCAAAACTATCATACATTGGGAAGAACAGACCTCTGACACATAGGGATGAAACTGCCAACAATGATTCACATGCAAGAAAATAGGACGATTAAAAAAAAAGGGAAATCAACAATAGGGTCTCATTAAGAAAACCAGAAGCATGAAAAGAAAGACGGAAAAACCAAAACCTCAGACTACAGAGCTAATCAGGAAAAGACATATCTAAATATTTCCATTTTATGTATCTTTACAGAGATCTGAAAAGATACTGTTTCAATAGAACCCAGAGTAAAATGCGAAAAAGCTGTAATAGCAAAAAAGAAAGAAGAATCAAAATTTAGTGTAGAAGATAAAGTCAAAGAAATCAAGGTAGAGAAAGAGTAATCAATCTGACATTCCCACAATTATGGCAATAATAAGCAAATTTCCCAGTGAGAAAGGAAAAAATGTCTTTAGATTGAAAAGACCCACTATGTGTTAGACAGAATGAATGAGCAACGACTGAAACAAACTCAATTTTACAACACTGAGTACCTAAAAAGGTCCTAGGCATTCCAGAGATGATGTGAAAAGGGTCACTCACAACGTCCCTGAAAGAATGAGACTTCTAGAATCAGCACCACGGGCAGTAAGAAGGCAAGGGACTTTCAGCCTTCCAGGGAGAAAGTGGCCTTATGACAGAATTCTATATACACCCAGCGGGGAAAGAAGTGAAAGGTTAAAACAAATACATTTTAAGGCATAAAAGAACTATGCATTTATCACACATATCTCTTTGATAACCCAAGAAAAATCCCAACTGGGATCCAAAAATGAATCCATTTAACTGAGAAGTACAGAAGGAAGCCCAGGATGTTAACCAGGCAGAGAGCTGCAGAATCATCAGCCAGGCTGGAGTCGGAGAAAGTGACTTCTAGACAATACCAGTATTACTGCACCTGAGTAACTCAAGTGATGAGGAAAGTGCACTGGTTTTGACAAGATGAAAAAGAAAGACAGCAAGAACTGCAGGAAACCAATGTGATGAGTGAGACTCCTGATCCAAGGGGATGCCAGTGAAATGAGAGTACTAAAGAGTTCTTTCTCCCGAAAAGGGAAAAAGAAAAATGGCAAGAAGTGTCAACACCAACTCCTCACCAACTGCAGAAGCTAACCAAACGTTTTCAGCAAAACAAACAACCATGCCTCACCAAGACCAGCCAGCTGGGGGGATTTTAACTATCCCTGGACCCACCCCCACGCTGGCCTTCAGCAGCTTGCTCTCTAGTGCTGCCAGCACCCACAGAGAGGAGAATACAGACATCTGACCTGTGTGAAGGCACCTGGGAAGACCCTGCTTACAAGGCTGTTCAACAGGACTTGGACCCCCCTCAACATACCTGCACGCTCCCACAGGTGTTTACACCTGTGATTACACACAAGAGTTTGACAAATGAAGCAAACAAAAGGAAAAGGTGGGACCTGCCTGGCAAGTTTGAGGTCCTGAGTTTGATCCCCAATACCAAAAAAAGCAAAACACAAAAGAAAAGAAAAACAAAAATAATAATATTAACGAGAGTGAAAATGGGGAAAGGGGATTTAGAAGAGGGAGGGAGGTGAGTGGGAAGGGGAAGAAGATTAAAAGAAAAAAACTGCATCATGTACATGTACCTACTCCCCAAACTTCATGTACTACAAACATATACTACCAAAAAAAAAAAAAAGAGGCTATCCATACAATCAGAGACTATCAGCTGTGAGCTTTTGTGTGATAAATACTTTACATTATCTTATTTAGCCCTCAAAAAAAAACCCCCCTCTAGCGTGCGCTCTCTCTCTCTCTCTCCCCCCGTGGAGTGGGCCACCATGCAGCCTCGGCTCCTTAATATAGATCTCTCATACCAAAAAAAAAAAAAAAAAAAAAAAAAAAAAAAAAAAAAGAAAAAAAAAAAAAAAAAAAAAAAAAAAAAAAGGAAAAAGTGGGAAATAAAATGTACACCATGGCTTTGAAAAGCTCTGATGTATTCCAGGCACCTAGAAAGCCACGTGCAGGTTTGTTGTAAACTCAGGGAACCTGAGGCGTCCACAGGCTCTCATCTGCAGCTAACCTTGACCATGAGCAGGAAGTGAAGGCTAGGGCAGGGTCTGCACCTGCTAAGCCAAGTGCCAGGTGTGCTGAGTGCACAGCACACAGAGAGAGCCCCTTGCAGGACCAGATAACCACTAAGGCCATAAAGTAGAGAGCTCACTGGCTTCACACAACAAAAAATAAGAACTTTATAGAAATTGTTCAGGAAAGTCATTAAAATCCAACTACATTAGCTACCAACAGCAAACTACCACGGGAGAATCTGATTTCAGGGCAAAGTCTGTCCCTGAGGACACCCAGACATGGACTTCATGGAAAGCTCTAGAAATCAACTATTTTTAAATGTGCTCAAAAAACTAAAGAAGGCCATGTGTAAAGAACTAAAGGAAAAAATGAAAATATAGTCTCATAAGTAGAAAGTATCAAGAATGATGGAAGTTTTTTCTTTTAATTTAAAAGAACCAAATATAGGGCTGGGGATTTAGCTCAGTGGTTCCACCACCTGCCTCACAAGAGTAAGGTCCCAAGTTTGATCCCCAGTACCAAAAAAAAAAGAACCAAATATAAACTGAAGTTCAAAAGTCGCTGCGGGGGGGGGGGGGCTGGGGATTTAACTCAGTGGTGCCACCACCTGCCTTGCAAGCACAAGGTCCTGAGTTCGTGATGCACAGTACCAAAAACAAAAGTAGGTGGGGAAGAAATGTGAAAAATTCACTATAAGCAATCAAAAGCAGATTCCAGCATTTAGAAAGCAACATCAGCAAACTTAAAGATAAGTCCACTGGGTTACACAATCTGAAGAACAGAAACAAAAAAGAATGAATAAAAATGAACAGAGCCTTGAAAACCTAAGGGACACCAAACACACCAACATCTGTGAGATGGGATTCACAGAAAGAAGGACAGAGGTATACAAGTAACAGGAGTGGCTAAAAATCTGACATGAAAAATTCACCTGTCATCAAGGAAGCTCAATGGTTTTTTGACAACATGGTCAAAACCTAGATCATGTTGTCAAAAAGTCAAGACTGACTATGGTGGCATGCCTATACTCCCAGCTACTTTGGAGGCTGAGGCAGGAAGACTACAAGTTTGAGCCCAGCACGGGCAACTTAGCAAAATTAAAAATGAAAAAAAGGATTGTGGATATAGCTCAGTGGTAGAGTGCCTGTTTGTCTCTGTGCAAGTCTCAGGTTCGATCCCTACTATGGGGGTGGAAAGAGATGACAAAGCAGGGATAAGCAACTCATCACCTAAGAATGACAGCTGGTTTCCCATG